CACCTATGTTTGCCTGAAGCACAATTTCCCCATTTTAAAATAAATTGGAACTAGTGGGTCCAGATGATTGTAGTAGGCAGAATTCTAAGATGACTGCCAAGATTCCCACTTCCTGTTAATATAATCCCCTCCCCTTGTATGTGACGGGAATTAAGAATACAATGGAATGGTCATCCCACGATTAGGTTATGTTACGTGGCACAGTGGACTTTAAGAAAGGATTACCTTTCGTGGGCCTGACCTAATCAGATGAACCCTTAAGAGGGACTAGGCTCTTCCTGAAGAAAGAGAGTTCACGTGTGAGACAGATTTGACAGAAGGGAGATTCTCCACTGATGGATATAAAGATGGAAGGGACCATGGAAAGTGACCACTAGTAGTGAAAAGCCAACAAGAAAAACAAGGGCTTCAGTCCTCCCAATACAAGGAACTGAATTCTACCAACAGCCCAAGTGAGCTTGGAAGTGGATTCTTCTGCAGAGCCTCAGATGAGAACTCAGCCTGACGGATGCCTTAAGTGTTAGACTCTGAGCAGAGAATCCAGTTGAGCCATGCCCACACTTCTGACCTACCCACGGAGAGCTAATACATATGGTTTGTTTTAAGCCTCCGAGTTTGTGGCCATTTGTTATGCAGTAGTAGGAAACCAATAAACTAATATAATGCTATTGCAGTTAAATGTGAGTTAAGATTTCTTTTTAAGAATTTTTTTTCTTGACTCCTCTTTCCCTGCCTTTCTCCAAAGCTTTGATCTGCTGCCCCACCATGTAATTATTTCATTGAATATAACCAAAAAATGCCATTTTGTCAGATTAAAATCTTCTCTCCTATCACATATTAGAGTTATCTCCTTCCCCCCATGCTTGATTTGAGATGCAGAGATGTATGCATCTTGGGTATATTATATACATGTTTAGGGCTGGAGAATCAAACCAGATAACACGGATTTTGAGAATTAAAGCAAACAATCTGCACATTTTGAATTAACTCAGATATGTTTCACTCATTGCATCTAGTTATCTTGAAACACAATAACATTGACCTAATGGCTGAAGAAAAAGGAGAACCAATGAAAGCATAAATGCCTGAACATTTTAATATCTTTTATCAATAAACATTAGTAGTATGCCATGCATTTGAATCCATGCTTATCCTGAGGAAAACCTGCATTCTATCTTCTGCTTCCTGATACTGCAGCTGGATCCCATTACAAGGGTAGGACACACCAAGAGAAGCATGCCTAAACTTTCTAAGCTACAAAACTAAAGCTGATCTTCATTAATTAGATGTCTAGATTATGCAGATTGACCACTGTATTACCATAAATAACATGGTCAGAAACACTATTATATGGCTTAGTGATAGCTCCACCTGGGTCATTTGGCTAAGCCTTATTTACGAAGACATTCTATTAACCACAAAGGCAGGATTTGATGTCAGGTCAAAAATCAGATCAAACTGTGACTTCGTGGTTGACGGCGGAGAGAATGCTCTACAACAAAGGGAATTGAGAACCCAGGGTGATGTCTTCCTAACACTGGATTCAGGAGAAATTTCATCTCCAGCACACCTTCACAGAGTGCAGTATACTACATAATGCAGATAAGTGAAAATATTAACAGGCCAATGAATCATAACTAAGACCCACCATTTAAAATCCATATTCTCTGCCTTTGTGAAAACCATGGAACTGGATGAAGAGAGAAGCCACCTAATTTTAGATTAAAGCCAATGTGGACAATGGATTCTTGGATGAAGGCAAAGTCTGAGCATCACATGCCCTCAGCTGAATAATGATCAGCTGTTTTAATAAAAAGGGAGAATACACGACAAAAAGGCCATGGTGTGGAACAGCTTCAAGATCTGGGGATCCAGGTGAATCATGACTTAGCTTTTATCAATTTTAACCAAAGTCTTCCCAGGTGCTGAAGTCAGCACTAAGGAAAAGCTCTCACACGACTGTTATGCAGAGTAATTGTAATCTTTGTCTGCTTCACCCTTCTGGACCTGTGTCTTTGCCATCTACATAATGATGTGGAGGGAAAGCACTTCGAGCCGAAATGAAATAAACGACGTCAGTTTATGCCCACACGGACCTTGTCAAGTAGCCAATGACTTGCCCTTTCATTGTGAGTGACTAATATCAATGCTGGCTCTAAAGAAAGACACTTTTCATAATCGCCCAACAATCTGCTAAGTGAAAACATATGGAGAGGCTTAGGCAAAGCCTGCCAGGGGTCTTTGCTGAATGGAAAACAGGTGCTCTCATTCTGTGCCACGTAATACCCCATTTACCCCCAAGTCCAAAGGTTAGAGGACTAATAGCTGCCTTGTGGCAATCAGGGAAAGCCAAGAAACTAGCCCTGGTGAAACATCTGGGACATATTTTACATACTTGCAACATATGCTTCAGGTTCAATTAAAGTGAGGCTTTGGCACATTTATTAATCTTTTTTACTTTTATCCTATAAGAGGACTCACTGACCTGACCCCACTATTATACCATATGAGAAAACAGAGAAATAATGAGAGCTAGAGGTCAGTACCTGCTCATATGGCAAAAAACACATTTGTTTTCTCCTGAAATTCCATTACCCATTACTCTATACACAAACTTTAAACAGAGGAACCAATGAATTTTTTAAAGTAGGAAATTACCCTTCTCCCACTCAGACACACTGATAGCCAGGACTTACAACCTTTACCACTCTGACAGCCAGTCCAGAGACATCGGCTGCTAAATGGAAACTCGAAGGATCCTTTCATATTTCCATTTCTTATAGGAAAAACTTTAGATTTTAACACATCCACTCTAGGATTCTTCTATTATGCAAGCCCCTAAAAGTCTTTTGTAAATTATTATATTTGAGATTTTCTTTTTTGTTCAGATATGATTTTTATGCTATCAATTGCATTATGAGTAGAAAAGAGAAGCCTCCTTATATATCACTTGAATAAAGGCTTGGATTTATGAAAATCAGCTCACCATCTTTTCATATGGAAAACACACTGTTTGTCAGCATCCTGCACACAAGAATACAGTTGAATTCACACAGTAATTTAAGCACTCACTTTCAAATCAACTTTGGTAACTAGATCTGAAAATGTGTTAGAACCTGGGTGTCAGTTTCAGACACCTCAACACTAGATTACAATAGATGCCACTCCAGAGGTTTCGTGCTGTTTCCACCTGGCATGTTCCACTTGACATCTAGGTTTTGGTGAGCTGGTTAACCAGGTGTGTTATTCGCTTCCCATTCCTAACATCCTCTCTATTAAAAAAATGACCATCAAGGGGAGATGAGTGGTTTGGAGTATCAACAAACTGGCTAAAAAAAAAAAAAAAAAAAAATACAGGTTGACTTCAAGCAGGGACACTGAAGTACTAGACTTCACTAAGGGTTTCCATTTATTAACATCTCGGAGGGAACGCCTGCTGCTGGAATGAATCTTTATGGTTGCTTTAATAATAAAGCAGCAACAAGCAAGGGAAAATGGCCATAAATGGATGGCAGCTTAGTGTTTATCAGCAGAAAAATGATGATTCAGAGCTGGCATGTTGAGTTAAAATACAAGCTCTCTACAGCTCTACAAACTGACCTTAACAATAAATTATATCATTTATTGCCAGAAGTGTATGTTCATGTTATTTAACATTAAAAACAAGCATATATGTGTTTTTGTAGAAAGGAGATTTTGTTAGTGTATATTTGATGATGTCGCTAATGACTAAATGATGTACAGAAGAAAAATTTCACCTAAAAGCTCTATCAATTTCAAAATGTTTGGAATGGCATTAGAAGGGGGAAGGTGTGTATGTGTATGTCTATGTTTTTATTTTCCTTGTAGCATTGAATATTAGTCAAGAAAAAAATCATTTGGGAGTTTGACTAATCACTGTGATTTTTTTTTTTTTTTTTTTTTTACATTTCTAAAGCTTGCTTCCAACATGCAAATTCTTATACCAGGATATAACTGTACATCTCTACTAGAATCAAAGGTCAAGGGCATAAATTAAGATACACTGTTGTTCTCCTTTATTAAAAAAAAATTCACTGCTTTACTCTAACAGAACTCAGATTCCAGTGAAGGTCAAAATCTGGTTTTATATGCTAACTAATTTGGAAGTAATGAATGATATTCTCTCTTCCCTCCCAATCTCACTCTAGCACTTTTTAGATTTTTTATCTAGAAATGCCCAAGGATTTTGATAAACCAGCATCGCTCTCCTCCTTGCCATAAAAAGCCTTTCTTCTGACCTCAGACACCACTACAGTGGTGCAAAATCACTCTAATTCATCCCTCCAGTTGTCCCCTCTTCCCAGGGGACAACCATTCCAAGAAATCCCCAAAACTAGCTATTTCTTTGTTCATTTTTGTTTGTTTGTTTGTTTACTGTGGTCACCATTCCCATGCCAACCAGCAATCGGAAAATAACCTCTCAACAGGCTTTCCTGACCAACGAGCCACAGAGCCATTCCACGTCAAGTCTAGGCAAGGGCCGTGAGCACTGGGATTATTTAAATGCCCTCCGGAGCCCTCCCCACATATGTGTGTTCTTTTGCTGAGCAATTCCTTGAAAATTACAGATGACAATATCCATGTTCAACTTAAGCAGGCTGCTCTTTTTTTTGCCCCCTTCTCCCTTCCTCCAAAGTGTAGCCTGATTTGTAATACTCAAGATAGGACAAATTTTTGCCCTTCAAAAACAGTTGTCACTGCTGTTATCTTCACGAGAGCTATCAAGTTCCAGACAAGCTGAATTATTTTTTTTTGTTCCTGGCAGAAAAATATTTGACCCAGCTCTGGACAAAAGCGAAGAGGATTTATAGCCCTCTCTCCTTCTTTGCAACATGCAGTGGCATTGTTAGGATGATAAACAGCACTGTCCAATTTTCTGGACTCAAACACTTCAACTCCTTTTTTAACTGTCTGTAAAAACAGTGTCATGTCTACATTTCCCCATCCCCTGGTACCCAAGTGCCGGGAAAGATAATTACCTTGTCATCTTTGTCATCTTCTTCTTCCTCGTCCTCCAGCATGTCCTCCACTACCTGCAGACAGAAACAGAAGTCATTCTCGTGCTCTTAAAGGAGAGAATTTTGTTCTGTCATTTTGAACCTTTTGGAAATGAAAACTTTATTAACATTTGAAACAGACGCACAGAGAGGGAACATTTCATCTAGAGATAGGGATTAGGAAAATGTGATGCCTTTAATTGATTAAAACCAGGGAACTGAATTCCAGTCAGGGGAACCCTATTTGTGTGAAATGTTCTGTGACAACTTAAAGAATCTGAAATATGCATCAGGTAAACTAGCATTAATTTGAGAGATGCTTTAAATCAGGAGACTTCCTTTTTACCTGCTCCACTGTCTGCATTAATCAGACACTTTACGTTTGGAATCAGGTAACTAAGCAGAAAACAGCTCTGCTATTTCTAATTTACTTTTTACCAAACTCTAAGGTAAAGTATACTACCTGTTCATTGATTTATGCTGGTGCTTTATGGCATAAAGCTAATAGCTTTCGTGGCTCCAGTTTTACTTATTTTTTTTATTGAATAAATTTGATTTGTAACATTGACTAAGTCTAAAGTATGCCATGTGTTACTTGGATACATTTATGTATTGTAATATGATTGCTGATGTGGCAATGTTTAGCTTATTACATAATTACAGTACACTATTATTGTCTATGTTCATTATACTGTGTATCAGATCACTATGGCTTATTTACTACCTGTCATGTGTTTGTACCCTTAAACACTGTCACTGCTATCCCTGTCCTCCATCGCTTGGTAACCACCATTTTACTTTTTTTCTTATAGGTTTAACTTTTTTAGAATCCACAAATAAATGATATCATATAGTACTACACGTACTCTGATTTATCTTGCTTTTAATGTGCTCAAGGTCCATCCATGTTGTCACAAAACGGATGCTATCTTCCTTTCTTGTAACTGAGTAACATTCCACTGTGTCTATGTACTACATCCTTTTCACCCATTCATCCACTGATGGGCATTCGGGTTGTTTCCGTACGTTGGCTTTTGTGAATAATGCTGTGGCAAACATGGGAGTGCAGATAACTTTTCAATACCCTGTTTTCATTTCCAATTACCCAGAAGTGTAATTGTTCGATCACAGGGCAGATCTGTTTTTATTTTTTTGAGGAACCTCCATATTGTTTTCCATAGTGTTTGGACCAATTTACATTGCTGCCAACAATGTATATGGGTTCTCTATTCACCATTCTCAACAGCACTTACTGTCTCGTCCTGATGACAGCCATTCTAATAGATGTGAGCTAACTCAGTGGTCCATTGATATAGAGGTGATATGGCATTGTGGTTTTGACTTGCATTTCCTTGGTATTAGCGACGTTAAGCATCTTTTCATCTATCTGTTGGCCATTTCGATGTCCTCTTTAGAAAATTGCTTAGTTCTTCTGCTTATTTTTAAATTGGATTGGTTTTTTGTTAGGGAGTTGACTGAGTCCTTTAGATATTTTGGATATTAACCCCATATCTGATTTATGGTTTGCAAAAATTTTTTCCCATTCTGTAGGTTGTTTTTTTGTTGTTTGTTTTGCTGTGCAGAAGCTTTTGAGTTTGATGTAGTCCCATTTGTTAATTTTTTCTTTGGTTGTTTGTGGTTTTGGTGCCATCAAGGCTCAAGTTTTAATTCTTGTGTATAAATGTCAACTTTTGACTATCTCTGTATTACTTTTTTATTTTGTGGATTACCAGAAACTCTAATTTTAATTCTCTGATTTTACACAAGGGTTATATTATGAGAATGGACACTGAAAGAAAATTAGAAATGTATTCAATAATCAAATTATATAATATGTATATACAACCCAGGAAGGGGGGTATGCATGAATGTATTTTTTAAATGACTCCTAGTTTACTTACTTCAGCATAATGGAATAGCATTTCAGATTTGCTCAATAAATTTACCCTTTCCTTGATTAATGTGGAACTGTGGCATTACAAATGGGACTTCACTCTGTTTCAGGTGTTTTATTATCATTTTATACACCTACACACACACACACTCTCTCTCTCTCTCCCCATGGAAACCAAAAATTTAAAAACTTTGGGGAGGGTTGTTATTCAGTTAAGTGCCAACTTCTGATTGCATTCATGCCATTTCATATAATTTCTAATTCTTGTGGTGCTTTTCTTTTTTATCTAGTCTGTATCTCTATTGCTGAATAAATTTGATAGAATCATGGTTATTAAATATTTTTAAATCCTTCTCCCAAAGCTCATAACTGTAAAAGATAGAGACAGTGAGTGCTTCTTTCATGTGGCTTATGATACAGACAGGAATATGTTATGAGTGAAAACTTCAATAGCTAAGACTGTATTATGCAAAGAGCTACACAAACTGAGATAACATGTCAGGACTCTCGGTGATCTAATAATTGTTCTCAAATATTCTAAAAGCATTAGCTGATTTAAAAGAATAGCCCAAACACAAACCTCTATTTCTCATAAACCAATATATAACCAAAAGCATCTGACAACCTGTGAGATTGTTCCTAATTTAATGTCATACTTTAAATCTTCAATTACATGGCAGAATTTTGTGGTCTTTCCTTTGGACATTCAACATTTCAAAAGAACCAGAGCAGCACAATGTGCTGTTTCCAGTATCTGGTGAGAGTTTACACTTGTTTTGAAGACATATAAAGCAATTCAGCCTCAGCAAGAAAGAAGGACTCTTTACATTCTAACTATATTCAGCAACTCTGTAAGCACTTATGGTAAAGTCCTTTGGCCAAGAAACACAGTGCTAGGTACTGCGGGAATACAAAGATGAAAAACACAGATATTTCATCTATACTCATGTCAGCCCTCAAGAGAAATATAATTCAGTAGAATTTAAATGGAGACTATAAGCTAATCTTTCATGTTGGCTTTTAGTTTCCTGAAATTTTGAAGTATTCAGAAGTATACAGACAATAATAGTAACAACGTATAATCACGGTGCCAAATGCCAGGCAATTCTAAAACAGGCTATTTTTGATGGAGGTTTAAATGGGAGAAACAGCCACAATAGTTCAGTACTTTGTATTTCTCCAAAAGAATTCACCTAACACAGCAAATAGCTGAAACAGAACTCAAACTCAGACAGTGGGACAACACAGAGCCAGCTCTCACCCCTGCCCAGTTCTTGGGTGGGGGCGGGGAGGGGGGAAGAATTCACCTAACTCCCCTAAGTTTTGCTTAAATGATTATAATTTCATATCTCTAGTAAAACGATTGATTTAGATTAAGTAATTTTTTAGGTTGGTCATTATGATCCATTTTATTTTTCAGTAAAAGTTGTATATATTGGAGGTATGAAACAGGATGATTTGGTTAATACTAAAATTACCCACACAAAGTCATTTATCAAATATGTCAAGGAAAAAGAAATGAACACTACAAGTATACTTTTACTCCTGTGCATGAACTCAATGTTTTTGCTAGTTATTATTAAAAATGTATTACATGCCTCTCCTCTTCAGTACTGATGATCATACTGCAGGTGCTAGGTAGTAAGAATGGCGTTGGATTTTGCCTAGCAGATTGCAAGGTGCATAATAGGTGTTCCAGAAATATTTGTTGATAGAATGAACAGATGAACGCATCATCTATTCTTCATAGCCTTCAATAGGCTTTTACATAAAAGAACTAAACTAGCTCACAGAACTGAACTAGCTCACCTGGGAAGTTATATACTTAATCAGTGATGCAGATTAATAAAAGCAAATATTCAAAATGCCTTCCAATATCTGCCCAGAAAGAGAAAGCATACATATTTAACCTTTAAGATTTGGAGATTTCTACTGCCTTCAAGATAATTTTCAAAAATTCAAAATATCATCAAAACATCAAACAAGCCAACAGCTTAATTTACACATTTTCCAAATCAGCTGCGGATCTTATGTTCAAGAACGACTCAAAGAGGTCTACAGAATCAGGCTCTTCATTTGCAAAACCCAAACTGTTCTTACCCTGCACAAGTGGGTAATTGGCTACGCGCAATTGCTCTACAAATGTGCAGCCAGAACCACCCAATACAACCATTTGCTCTTACATTTGGCAGAAAAGTGTTGTGTTAGCGAGAGGCCTTTGTGTTGTGTTTTAGCACTCTAGCGAGGGCTTTTCCCCTCCTCCAGTGTCTTTTTAATGTTACATCATAAACACCTACAAGTGAGGATTTATAATACAGATGCTTTCCTACGGATGCCTTTAAGCTGCTTCAGAATGCATCCCACTACTACATTTTGCTCAGGTGAAGGTTAAGGTGCCTTGGAAATTGGAGATAATAGCACCTATCCCACAGTGTTGATTAAGGATCCAATGAAATAATGTATTTAAAGTACTTAGCACAGTTCCTGTATCGAAGTGTTCAAAGAGGTTAGCTATTAGTGAAAAGAAAAATAATATCTATTTAACGATAGTTTAAACATTATTTTTTTAAAAGATTTTATTTATTTATTTGTCAGAGAGAGAGGAAGAGAGAGAGAGAGAGAGAGAGCACAAGCAGCGGGAGCGGGAGAGGGAGCAGCAGGTTCCCTGCTAAGCAGGGGGCCCGATGCGGGGCTTGATCCCAGGACCCTGGGATCATGACCAGAGCCGAAGGCAGATGCTTAACTGATGGAGCCACCCAGGTGCCCCTCAACATTAATTTTTAAAAACTGAATTATGTATTTTTTTTTGTCCTGGGCAAAATATTCAGTGTTCTTTATGACATATAAAATTCCAATTCATGTTTTGCAGATACTAAGAGACACATAAAGGGACACAGGCAGAGGCGTGGATCAAAACTACCCCTTAAAATGATGCTTTCACTAATTTTCAGGCTTTAACGGACCAGTGAAATGGACGGCTATAAGGGCAAGAGCGTCTCAGAAGCGGGGCTGTGCTTGAAGACATGAGTCCTGGCCAAGTGCAATGAATATAGAAACTGCAACTGAGGTTTTAAAAACAAACTGTATGTATCCCTGAAGTACATTTAATGACCGCACAAAACTGCAACCTTTCCCAGAGAAC